GCTCACGCTGGCTGCTGGCTACACACGGTAGCCCATGGCAATCCACTGCCACAGGGACTGCAGCCCACGCCGTCGCCGGCGACTCATAGGCAGCCCAGCTCCAGGTTGAGCTGTTGTTCAGCATCTTAGCTGTAGAGGGCAGTGTCACTGGCCCGCATATGTGGGATCCGAACCGGGGCCCTCTGGCATCCCAAGCGAGTTCTTACCATCGCGCCACTTGGCGGGCCCCAATATATATTTTTAAAAATATTTTCAATCATACCAATTAAAGCCATGATCTAGTATGTATCAATCTCCTATCTTCACTTTCCATTCTCAGTACTATATGGATTTACCACCTAGTAGGGGTCTGTATTTTCTTAGATGAGGACAAGTTTTAAAATGATGTTTTTATGTGGTTTAAAATAAAAATATTATGTTAGTCTAAAACCTGTCAATGTGACATACAAACAATCACCAACATTTATTAAGATTGTGAAATCCTAGAGCATTTCAATAATATATCAATATGTATTGCATTATTTAATAGTTCAATATATAGTTCTTAAATGTTGATTTTTCATACAATTATAGAAATACAAAATATTAAAGTTTAATAAAAGAATTAAAATAATCACTTCCAATAAATATGAAATTAACAGAATTTAATTAAAGGAAAAATTACTTGAAAATGATTCAGGTTGTTTAAGCCTAAATCAATAAACACCATGGTCAAAAATTTAAAATACTGAGGTCTAATAAGTGATACAATTAAAACCCAAATATAAGCATCCCTAAATGATGACTTTGATAACCGGTGTTATTTAATTTTTAAGGCGATCCCTAAGGAATCCACGGTGATAAAGTCAGACTGTTCAAAGATGAAACACAGTCTTTTTCTACAGAATTTACATACAGGGCTTCATAATTTACAAATAGCAGTGATAAACCCTGTGATCAAATCAAAATCAGAGCTAAGAGGCACAGGGGAAGATCTGTATAGGTACCCTGGAGATATTACAGATCTGGTTTCAGATCACCGCATTGAAGTAAATATCTCAATAAACAAGTCACACGAATTTTGTTATTTCCCAGAGGATATGAAAGTCATGTTTACACTGCATTACATTATACTGTAGACTATTAAATATGCAATAACAGTATTTGTAAAAATAGGTACATCCTCTAATCAAAAATACTTTATTGCTAAAAAATGCTAACCATCATCCTAGCCTTCAGCAAGTCCTAATCTTCTTGCTGGTGGAGGGTCTTGCCTCAATGTTGATGACTGCTGACTAACCAGGGTGGTGGCTGGGATGGGTGTGAAAATTGCATAAAGTTAGCTAATTGTCTTAGCGCGATCTGGATGACTTGCTGCAGCGTCTCCATCAGCATCCGCTGCTTCACTTGCACTTTTACGTTCTGGAGATGACTTTTTCCTTTAAACCTCATGGACCAACCTCTGCCAGCTTCTGACTCCTCTTCTGCAGCTTCCTCACCTCTCAGCCTTTGCAGAATTGAAGAGAGTTAGGGACTTGCTCTGGATGAGGCTTTGGCTTCAGGGGATGTGGTGGCTGGTTTGACCTTCTAGCCTGACCTCTAAAACTTGCTCCATGTCAGCAACTAGGCTGTTGTGCCTCCTTATCATTCACGTGATCACTGGAGGAGCACTTTTAATTTCCTCCAAGAACTTTCTTTTTGCATTCGAAACTTGGCCAACTATTTGGTGCAGGAGACCTGGTTTTTGGCCTGTCTTGGCTTTTGACATGCTTTCCTCACTAAGCTTAATCATTTCTAGCTTTTGGTTAAAGCAAGAGACGTGTGACTCTTCCTTTCATTTGAACACTTAGAGGCCATTGAAGGGTTGTTAACTGGCCTGATTTCAATACTGTCGTATCTCAGGACATAGGGAGGTTGGAGGAGAGGGAGAGAGATGGGGGGATGGCAGGTCAGTGGAGCAGTCACAGCACACACAACAGTTGTCGATTAAGTTCACCATCTATATAGACGTGGTTTGTGGTGCCCCCAATTACATTAGCAACATCAAATATTACTCATCATAGGTCACTATAACAAACACCATAGTCATGAAAAAGTTTAAAACATAGTGAGAATTACCAAAATGTGACGTGGACATAAAGTGAGCAACACTGTTGGAAAAATAGAATCGACAGGCTTGCTGGGCGCAAGGTTGCCACAAACTTTCCATTTGTAAAACAGACACAGCAACTGTGAAGCAAGGCAAAGTCAAGCCAAACAAGGTATGTCTGTATTTCTGCATCCAGTGTGTGGCTGCAGCGCCTGGATTTTCAAGCATAAGTAAAATAAAATCTTACCCTCCTGCCCTGCTTGATGTGGGTTAATGTCTATTAATGGTGACCTCCATAAGATATATTAGAACTTATAAATTATTTAACATTTATTTGTGTTTAAAAAAATCAATAAACTCATTTTATAACACGGATGACGTTTTAAAGTAAAAATATTTTCCAAATAGGTAAGAAGTGGCAATGCTTTTACATTTTTGCAAAACTCCTAATGTCTCATTTAATAGAAGAAAGCCTGATACTCATATCTTCTTCTGAATTCAGTCTTTTGCAGTATATTGTTTTAAGTATATACAGAAAATAAGGCCTCACACAGACATAAAGTTGTAAAAGACAAGAATAATTGAAGAGCATTTTCTGCTAACTGGATATTCTTTAATTCTGTCTACAAACATGACAAATGTTTTCGTAAAAGTCATGGCCATGGGGAGTCTGACATCACGACATACACATTTTACACTCTGTTGCATTAAAATCAATAGGTCTGCTTTCAACTTTGACTGGTTATTGAGATAATACTGGTTCACTGAGTTATGATGATGTTACAAATGTTGACATTTCATTATCAATATAAAAATATACATTACTATCACCCTTGATTTCTGTCGCCTTACAGCCGATTCTTAGACCACCCCCCCTGCATTAGCCTCTGACCCATTAGTCGAGAGAGTGCCTTGGAAAACTGAGGCTGGATGGAATGATATCTGTAAAGCTCTCTCGGGGGGCGTCTCGGCCTGACTGGGACCTGATGGAATGATATCAGCTGTCTCCCCTGGNCTAATTTTAAAAAATGTTTATTTCACAATAAAAAAATCAATAAAATAAATAAATAATTTAAAAAATTTTAAATGGTTTCAGTTTCAGACTCATCGGTTACAACTCTGAGCCTGAATTTCTCAATTTCGTAGGAACTTCATTCCATATCATTCTTATCTGAAATATTAGATTGCAATGTCACCCATGTATCCACAACATGACTCAGTAGAATTTCAAAAACATAACACAGTAGTGAGAATTGAAACCTGAAACCATACCACCAGTAGTGAAAATTATCTTTTATCTTTTTTGGAAAACCAATTTTCTGGTTGTTACTGGTCTCAATATGAGATATTATTTAAGAGCTCAGAAAAAAGTGGTTAGATAGTTTTGATGCAGTGAACAAGAAGGCACAAATACTTTTGAATATTAATACATGATGCCAGCAAGGTTGGGACGGATTCTATTGCAGTATGGGGATTTATATTACCAGTTAACAGACTTCAATGCAACTCCAAAAAGTCAATTTTACAAGATGTAATGAAGTTCACATGACAAGTAAAGGAAAGTACAGCAAAAGGAGTAATGACATTCAAGGAAAGAGGAACGCTTTGATAAATTCTAATTCCATTTAGTAAAACTCACATAAGTGCAGGTGAGGAGGTATGAATAATTTTATTCAGGCAAAGTGATATCATCAGTTGTAAAATAATATAACCTGGTATTATTTATTTCTATAAACTTGACCTATAAATCTAGATGCTTAAAAAAAATCTCAATAAAGCTTCTCCTAAAGATTTAACTATTATTTTAAATTTATATCTTTCAAATCCTGAGTGCTTTTTTTGCTTCCATCCATTATAAAACAGACGTACCATTTCATTAAGCAAAAATCTTTAAAAAGCTATCATAAGCCAACTAATATATTACGTAGCATGGGGATCCCAAAATGACAAACACTGCAAGTTCAAGCTATAAACTGCTTGGGTCTCAACAACGTCAGAGTGCTTTATGAACTGGGACGCTCAAATGCACTCTGAAATGTATTTACTTGCAGTACTGAGAATACATGAAACCAGCCAACTGCTCCAAGTTCCACTTTGAAATCGCTGGGACGGAGGCTGTGCTATGCCACACTCCCACAAGGCAGCATTATTATCGCCCTGCCAGATGCCCACTCCACACAACCAGCACACAAATCACACGCTTGCCCTAACGACATGTCCCAGGCACTGTTTACTTAAGTCTCCAAGTTTGAATGGAAGCCTTAACAGTCCTGGGAGTAAAATCCAGACACAGGCCGATAATAAACAAGCACCACAAACATCTGTAGTAATCAATATGTTGAGCTTCTTACTAACGTCCTCTATGGTGTGCCCTCATCACAATAAGCCATCCTATTCAGCAATGTACCTTAATCCACCTGGGTCACTGTCTCACAAGCAGCTCAATGTCCTCAAGCTGTAGACAGGCCTATAATTGCTTACCTGATTCACAGGCAAATGTCTTGGACGTTTCATCATGAAAGATAATAGCCACTGCATGCTTCTTTGTCTCTCGAGGCAGCCTGGTTATATTTTTGATGTTGTGCAGTTCAGTTACCTTGAAAGAAAAATAGTTTTAACTGAGTGTACAGTTACATACAGTGTATGCTACACACCAGAGTGCTTAAACAAAATGATCAGTGATATTACCCTCTTCAGCCACTTTCCAATAGATAGTTGCACTCCTTCCCAATTAACCGTAGCCAAAAACAATACAGAACAAAGCAAAGTGTTTTCTGTTATGACTCAGTTTTGGTCATTGTTTACTGAATGTTGAAACAGTGTAAAATTATGTAGAATAGCTCCCTGAAAGCAAGGTCTGCATGCTTTTCATAAAACTGTATCTTCTGTAAATAACAATCTGTGGCACAAGACGATCCTCAATAAATTTGTGTTAAATGTTGATTGGATTGAATACCTCACCTCTCTCCTAATTCCCACTTACCATGCAAGCTCCTGGTAGGACTATAGTCATGAAATGGACCCCTGTTGATCGGCAGACAAAATGACTCTAAAATTTTGATGTCATTAAATATAAGAAACGAATCTGCTTCTGAGAAAAATGGTCATGGTGTTCATTTTACCTTCACTTCCTTCTTTGATGCATTTCCTCTCTTTACATAGATCTAACTGTCTAACCTGTACTATTTTCCTTCTCCCTAAAGAACTTCTTTAAACATTTCTTGCAAGTCAGGTCTACTGGCAACAAAATTCTCTCAATTTCACTTGGTTGATAGGCTTAATTTTGCTTCACTTTTGAAGGGTAATTTTGCAGGGTACAGAATTCTAGGTTGGAGTTTTCACTCAACTGTCTTCTTTCTTTAATGATTTCTGAGGGGCTGACGGATGAGATTCTTCTTTTTGTTCTTCTTGAGGTAAGGTGTTCTGTCTCCTCTCTGGCTTCTTTCAGGAGTTTTTTCTTTATCTTTAATTTTCTGTAGTTAGAAAATGATATGCCTAGATACAATTATTATTTTTTTTTGAAATTTATCCTGTTTGGTGTTCACTGGGCTTGCGGAATCTGTAGTTTTGTGTCTAACATTCATTTGGGGCAAATTATCAGTCATTATTGTTTCAAATATTTCTGTTGTTACCGTCTCTCTTCTCCTCCTCGGATTCCATTATGCATGTATTACACCCCTTATAATTGTCCCATAGTGCTGTATAGTTTGGGTTTCTCTTTTTCTTTTTTCTATTTTCCAGTCTTTGTTCTCTTTGCATTTTAGTTTTGGAGATTTCTATTGAGATGTCCTCAAACTCATAGATTCTTTCCTCAGCCATGTCCGGTGTACCTGTAAGTCCACCAAAGACATTCCTCATTTTTGTTAGAGTGGTTTTGGTTTTTTTGCCTTCTGGTTCTTATGTGGGGCTTCCATCTCTCCTCTTACATTGCCCATTTTCTCTTGCATGCTGTCTACATTATCTATTACAGCCCTAGCATATAATCATAATTGCTTTAAATTCCTGGTCTGACAATACCAACATCCCTGCCCTGTCTGGTTCTGATGCTTTTCCTGTCTATTCAGATTATGTTTTTTGCCTTTTGTTACGCCTTGTAAATTTTACTTGATAGCCTCATATGATGGCTGGGTAAAAGGAGCTGCTATAAATAGGGCTTTAGTATTGTGGTGGTGAGGCGTGGAGGGAAAGCATTCTACAATCTTGGGATTAGGCCTCCATGTTTAGTGAGGCTGGGCCTCCGGACTGTGAATTTATCGATGTTCCTCAGTCATCCCCAGCCTTAGGTGGCAGAGGAGCGCTACAGTGGGCAGGAATTGGGTGTCTCCCTTGTCTTTGACTAGGGTACCAGTTTGATTTGCTTGATTGCTGTTCAATGCTTTCACTTGATCACACATGCTTTAACTGCAAACGAAGAAGTTTGTTGAGGGGAAAAGACAATTCCATTCAAGGCCCACAATGCCATCCAAGAAGCACTATCAGTCACCAACAATTATTCAAAATGGAGAAAAGTTTACAGATATATTTCATAGGTTTTCAAAAAAATTTGTCCTCCAAAAATGAAGATAATATCTCCAGTATTTATTAGAATACGGTACTACACAAAGAATTAAAATGATCAGTACATGACCAAAAGTTGTACCCATGTTAAACATTAGGGCCTCTCTAACTTCTGTGCCTTGGGCAATCTGACAGGTGATGTAGTTCAAACACAGTGTTTGTTCATCTGTAAAATTTACATGGAGAAATGCAGGCAACCTCTTGAAGCAGGCGCTGTTACACTGGTTTCCAGAACACTGCAAAACTTTTAGTTGTTGGTCAACAGTGTGATACCATCCACTTCAGCGTGCTCTGAGACAGTAAAGAGATGCCAGGAAAGCGAAGGACTCAGGAGGAGTATAAAATTCCACTTCTCACTTGTCTTGGTTAGGAAGTTCAAGTGTTACACTATAAAATGTTTTAAAATCGTACCAAATGTGTTCTAAGGACTTTGCATGTCTCTGGAACCATTCCTCTTCAATTCAATATATATATATATATATATATATATTTTTTTTTTTTAAAGGTTTTTATTGGGGAATTGGGGGGATGGGAACAGTGCTGGGGAATTGGGGAAAGGGGAACAGACAAATAGCTGTCGTTTTTGTTCTTCAATCTAGTTGTGGAGGATGTTGCTTCACTGGCCCAAGTTGGCACCATCATTGCGCTCTTCTCTGGTGAGGCAGATCAGTCGC